TGGACTTATACGAATTTCAGTCCAGTCCAGTCCAGTAACTCGTGAGAGACTGGAATAAGTCCAATGACAACCCTGTTCAAATCGGATGAATACTTTCTGAGATTCCGATTTTCTAAGTTAGGAACAGAAATGGGGCTTAACCTACCATATTAATTGCTAATTGCTTTAATTCTTCAATCCAAATAATTAATTTTTTTTAATCTCAATGATACTACTTTTATTCTGTCTTCATGAATAATCACAACTAGTTTGAAAGACATATATGATAAAAGCTTTACCTGATCCCTAGTGCTGTTAAAAGTCCGATCCTATCCGTCCGGACTCCTCAAATGCTACAGCTATTATCATAATCCCTGGGTAGAGTTTGGCACCGGATTCACTTTTTTAATCCGGATTTATTTTAATTAGTAAAAACCTGCATCGAATTTATTGTATAAATCCGATGTTTCATGCATTAGCGTCTTCTCGTGATATAATACATGATAATTAACCAATTATAGTTAACTTTTATTTATAGTAATTAAGATAACGATAAGCGTTTTTTTTTGTTTTTTTTAAATAAGTTTTTGTTGTCAACTTTTATTTTAAACCATATTCGTTGACCGTCACTGGACTTTCATAAAAAAAATGATTAGAAAAAAAACCAGATAATACTTAACAAAGAACTATTCATTGTTCACCAAAGGTGGAAACATAGGAAAATACATAGTATTCTGCTTTAAAAATAAAATGCGATTAACTAAATCAGGGGCTAATCAAGTTCTTTTTGTCAAAATATTATTTCCAGCATCAGAAAACAATCATTCACTAGGAACTGACATAGCAGGGATTGAAAGTTATTTACATGTTAGTTGTGACAAAATGGAATAATTTGTTTGATGTTCTCATCACAAAACTAAAGAATTAACATTTTTTGGTTCTTTAGGATAATATAAATAACAAGTAACTTCATCTTCCATTTGTATATAATTATTAGTTCACATTTTTAAGAATATGTCTTCAGCATTATTGATCAAGTTCACTGTTGAAAATGACATCTCAAAATTTTTATTGGTTAACTCTTGCTTAAGTTGAGTATATAAATCTTTTAAAAAGAATTCTGCTTGTATTTTTTGCTATACATGATTAGATTTATTCATAAATGAAAAAATTTTTATTCTAGAATTTAAATTTTTTTTATTATTATTATTATTAAACTAGTCTTTTGGGGACTAGGGCTTTTTTATTTAGTATTGTAAGACATGGTAACTCATGGTCTAATTACCTCAGAGGAGTTACTTTACATTAGAGAGTACATCTAGCCACATGTACACTTTTGGTGTTTAATTTAAGTAGTCTACCTATATATAGATTTTATACTAGCTGTCATACCTGCAACCCAACTACAAGTGTTGCTTATTTAAACTTTTTGTATTGTAATTCTTACTGTTATCATTAAAACATTTCTGTTACATGATATTAGTCAAGAAGTTCTAGATGTTTACTTGTATCTTTAGAACTTCAGCCTTATTTTATGCAGATTATTCTTAAAACATCATTACTAGAGCCTTTTGTATTTCAAATTATAGCTAAACCTAGTTTACAACTTTTGTGAAGTTTATACAACTCCAGTACCCTCTTTTTACAATCTCATCATTATCTCATCTATCTTTGCAAGTCCTTCTATATTATCAATCCAGTTAGTTTTGCATGATGCAACTTCATGTTCAGATTAACTGGTGGTTATGTTGGTAAACCTTCTACCTAAAGGTTCTTGCCCATACAGATCATCTGCTCCAGGTTTCTTCAGCAGATCAAGATCTTTACAGATGACACTGTTAAAAGTTGTATTACCTTTTCACTTAGGATTTCTAAGCAGGCTTCTAATCTGAGTATATACTTTCCAGATTTATTTATATAACATTATACACTTCCAAAGTTAGTTTTAATATAATTAGAATTACAGGATCTACAAATCTCAAATTACAGATAAGTTTGTTGAAATAGGTTTATTTTTTCAAAATCTAGTACCAATAGAAATTGAATATTGGACCTACTGCTTGGAGAATGACAACCCAACCACTACACTAGGATCGTTATTCTTTATTCTAGAATTTAATATCATTACAGTTAAGAACTTTTATTAGGTATTTTTCATAATTTATCTAAAGAAAGATATATAATTATTTGAACTTTTTGAATAAGATTTTTTGTATTAACTAATTGTAAGTATTCAATTTGATTAGTTTTTTTCATCTTAATTGCAATTATGATTATGACCATGATTCTGATCATAATCACAATTATAAGTTTTTTTTATTTCTTGTCTAAAATGTTAATATGTATATTATAAATATTATTAAATTTCTGTTATTAAAATATTATTATTATTGCTTATAAAACTTAAATTATTATTATTATCATTTTTTAATTTATTTTTTAATACTAAAAGTTTATAGATTAAATCTAAATAGATATTAATAGTTTCATCTTTTTCAATCTTTAATGCAAACACTTGTTTTAATATATATATATAGATGAAATATATTTAATATTAGATATATAGTATTTGATAATCATTGATTATAATTTTAAAAAGTTTAAGTAGTTTGATCATTTCTTAAACAAATCTATATAAAATTATTAATAATATTAAATTAAAAAAAAATAAAAACAATTACAAAATAAATTTATAAAAAAAAAATATATTAACAAGAAATGAAAATTAAATTATAACAGTAAGTTCTAATTAAAATTATAAAATTTATCATTATTATATTAAGTTTAAAAGACATATTAGAGATGATATATAGTTTAAATTATAATAATATAAATCTTTAATTTTTAATTTAAACCAATTTTAAGCTAATTTAAATCTTTTATTATATAATTATTATCTATTATTAATACATATTATAAATATATACAAAGTTGATAATAAAGATTAAATTCTTAAAATCCATTAAAGTTAGGGTTAAAGTCAAAGTTAGAATTTAGAAAAAAATAGTTTAAATAATAAAATTAGTTAATAAAAACTTTTTGTTAGAGTATAAAAAATAATTTCTTATATTGATTCTTAAGCTAAAATTAATTTTGAATAGAATAAATGTTTGTTTTAAATCTTTCTGTTCATATTATATTACATTTATCTGATCTATAGTTTAGAAAATATATGTCATCAAGGGTATGGGTCCCATAGCTTAGCGGTTAAGCTCCCATGCCCCCACAGACAAGGTCAACGGTTCAAGTCCGGCT